CATGAACAACTGTGCCCTCTCAAGCTCATTTGGATCTTGGATCGAGAAAATATTATATAATTTTATTCTAAAAGAAAATTCAATTTAAAGGATTAGCACATTTTTTACTCATTACAATTACAGTTTTACAGTTTTCGGTACTGTCTGTTTGAAAAACTAGCAAAGCCGTTTAATTTTACGTTTATTAGAAAGAAAATAAAAGAATATATACTTAAAAGGACGATACGTTATTTCGATTCAGTGTCATTTTTGCAGAAGAGCCATTCAAGTTTAAGATTCGGAAAAAACATAATAACAAAAAAAAACTTTTTCAGCTTTTTGATTGGGGTAAAATCAATTAAACGGACCCTTAATTACGAAGATAAATGTCGTGTATTATGCGGTAGAACAACTTGGCGTCGCTCGGTGGAGCAGGAGCTAGGGGTCTTGGGTATGACGTGGGAGGAGCTAGAACAGACTGCCCAAGACCGATATAAATGAAAAAAAATGATTCGAGCCCTACAGCCAAGCAGAGGGTAATAGGAAAGGATGATGATGATGATGATTATGCGATATTACGTCGCTTAAGACAAATAGCTTTTCACCCCTCGATGTGGCCGATATTTAAAATGGGAGCTCTTATGTTTCTGTATGAGTAAAAAAAAAGAAAAAATAATAGAAACATCTCCATGATAATTTGGTTATCTTCTTCACCAGTGTTACCATTAACGGCCTTTTCTGTTTACATTTCGATACAAGTTTTTACTGGTGGTAGGACCTCTTGTGAGTCCGCACGGGTAGGTACCACCGCCCTGCCTATTTCGACCGTGAAGCAGTAATGTGTTTCGGTTTGAAGGGTGGGGCAGCCGTTGTAACTATACTGAGTGAGATCTTAGAACTTATATCTCAAGGTGGGTGGCGAATTTATGTTGTAGATGTCCATGGGCTCCAGTAACCACTTAACACCAGGTGGGCTGTGAGCTCGTCCACACATCTAGGCAATAAAAAATAAAAAAAAGATACATTCAACTCTGAGATGATACTTAGAAGTAACAGGTTCATGTTTTGACAGCTTATCAACGAAAGTAGGTGAAATAACGGTCCAACTTTAAAGTTTTAATGCAAATAAATGCGGACAACGGAGACGCATGTGTAAAGGCTAACAACTTCTTTATTCTTATTCTTAAAATTTTCGTTAATGTTACATGTTTTGATTTTTATGGAAACTTCCTCTGGTAGGCAAAGGTGTTCACAGCATAATAGGTGGTAGCGTTCTTTGAGTATTATACCGGCGCAACCCGATCAACGTGCGTGTTTTGATGGTAGGACGCTTTGTGAGTCCGCACGGGTAGGTACCACCGCCCTGCTTATTTCTGCCACGAAGCAGACATGCGTTCCGGTTCGAAGGGGGGGGACAGCAGTTAAAAAATACAGTTGAGACATTAATCTCATGTGTGAAGCTGGGTAGCGACATACACGTGATGTCCATAGACTCCTGTTACCACTAAACGCCAAGCTTGCCATTAGTTCGTTCATTTATTTGCGCAATAAAAAAATCATTTAACCCTGGTATTCCATGGAACAAAAATAATATTCTAAACGATGCGGCATATGTATGTATGTATGTAATTTTTTATTCATTTATTAGCCTTATAGGCAGACGTAATACGGCCCACCTGATGGTGAGTGGTTACCGTCGCCCATGGACGTTAGCAATGCCAGGGGTAGGGCCAACCTGCTGCCTACTGTAAATTACTTTCCACAAGTCTCGTTTGATGAAGGACATGTCATAGTGTTCGGGAAACACCGTGGAGAGACAGATGTATAATAGCTATTGCGGAAAAATGTTATTCTGCACTAAAACAATTGCAATGGAAAATACTCAGTTTTAGTATCTTGTCTGATGATGATACATTCTTAATGTCGTCTCAAGCATTCACAAATACCGATCCGGTATAAACACGAGTGTACGCGGTGTCTGTTTATAAATTTACTAGTAAACTTTATGTGCTTGACAGCATAACATTTTATGGTAGCTTATGTCTACGTTCTGAAATTGTCTACAATTTAGTGATTGAGATTGTTGAGATATCGCGTCTACGATTGACAAGATGATCTCGGGTTTTCCGTTCCACCTTGTTTTTATTTTTTATTATTATTGCTTAAATGGGTGACGGCATAGACGCCATTGAAATATCTGAATGTTTTTTTTTGTTATGATATTCTTTCCAAATTTTGATCTTGAAATGAATCTTTTGTAAAGTTCCAAAATGTCCCTTATTTATTTTTTTATTTATTGCTTAGGTGGGTGGAGGAGCTCAAAGCCCACCTAGTGTTATGTGGTTACCAGAGTCCATAGACATCTACAACGTAAATGCCGCCACCCACCTTGAGATCTGAGTTCTAAGGCCTCAGTATAGTTATTACGGCTGCCCCACCCTCCAGACCGAAACGCATTACTGCCTCACGGCAGAAATAGGCAGGGTGGTGGTACCTACACGTATGTTCTATCAGAACTGAATTTACTTACAAAGTACTTCTGTAATCACACAACAAATTTATTGTGTCCTAATAGGTAAGACTCCCGATGTACTATTATCAAGTGATGCAACCATACTGTATTTTCAAATCCCGCTGCTTTTGTCTTTTCGTACCTAATCGCTGGTAGCATAAGGTTCTATTCTATCTACGCTCGGACGTGTAGGTGAGCTTACGGGCTCAACCTGAGAAAACTTGCTAACACTAGCCCTAATAAGAGCAGTGCTTCGTTGAATCTATCACCTGAGAAGAACCGGCGATAAACTCGGTGGGTGTCTACGGTCTAGGTTGCGTTGAGAATGGTTTCTGATGCTTTGAGTGCCTAAAAGCACTGACAGTGGATCGAGAGGATCCGATTAAACAGGTTTACGACTACATCGGCTTCGCTTTGCCCTATCGTCTGGGTCGTTTATGACCTGTAGGTACCTCCCAAATTTTAAATAAATACGTCATGAATTATGATGAACATCGGATTATGATGAAAGGATAACATAGACATTCGCGAAGCAGCTGCTCTTGAGCTTTTAGGTCTCCTTCGGAGGCGCTCGGACTGCCGTTAGCAAATCCCACCCCTTCTGGCTGAGCCTTTGCTCGCCCACCTGTCCTGGTGAAACTGGAAAGGCCTCCGGGCCACCAGTAATCGTTAAAAATCAATCATTAAAAAAAAGATAACATAGTGCAATGAAATGAAAGTCTCGAAGTGTCAGTTCATGCTACTGGACCCATAAATGTAATGTGTGTGGTAATGACAAGGTGAATGACTTTCTCGGTTGCGTAATGACTGTCCCACTCTTCAAACTGGAATGTGTCACTTTGTGTGGCAGAAGTAAATATCTTAGAGTCAACTACGGCACGTGTCAGGTGATCCGTGAGAGCTTTTTTGTATTGTTTAGCTTATGGGTGGACGCACTCACGGCTCACCTCGTCTCAAGGCAGAAATAGGCAGGGTGGTGTTATGGAGACCTACCACGAGAGCTTGTCCGTATCTCTATAAATAAATCGTTGAGTCCATGCATGAGTGAATTGCAGAATGGCGATAAAAATGTATGCGCATCGTGTGTTTTTAAAAACGAGCATCTTGTCACGTTGGCTAACATGCTACAACGGAAGCCGAGGGGTAGTTACTGCCATGGGTCAATAAAAAAAAAGTAATCTGTTGGTTTGCTTCTGTTGGCGATGGCGATTCCGTTGCGTTTGACGAGTGGCACGGCAATTGATATAGTTCGGTTCAGTCTTATTCAATCCTTGGAAATTCATTATAGTAGACGACCAGCTGAATAACTCTGGCTGAATAAAATAAACTTTAATAAAACTGGTAGTAGGAACTCTTGTGAGTCCGCACGGATAGGTACCACCACCCTGCCTATTTCTGTCGTGAAGCAGTAACACGTTTCGGTTTGAAGGGTGGGGTAGCCGTTATAACTACACTGAAACCTTAGAACTCATATCTCAAGGTGGGTGGCGGCATTTATGTTATAGATATCTATGGGCTCCGGTAACCACGTAACACTAGGTAGGCTGTGAGCTAGTCCACTCATCTATGCAATGAAAAAAAAAAGTCCGACATCAAATTCTAAATGTGTCTTTGGAGTCTTTTGAAGGCGGATCACAATGTCTGAAACCTGATGACCTAATCAGTGATGTTAGTTTTCCGCGAACTACTCTTAAACGATCTAGGTAAACAGTCCTGTTTGCTAATTGGCCAACCTTCAATACCGCTATCACCATGTCCTTTATCTATAATTAATGTTGCGATAAGCCTAGCCGAATCACAAGTGCGAGAATCTGTCGCGGTGAGATTGGAAATTGAGAGTTAAATTGGCGTATTATATATATTGCTTTTTTTGCATTTTTTTTTCTTTATTTTACAAATCAAGGGGCGATAGACTATTTTTTTTATTTTTTATTGCCCTTTTAGGCAGACGAGCATACGGCCCACCTGATGGTGATTGGTTACCGTTGCCCATGGACTTCAGCAATGCCAGGGGCAGAGCCAAGCCGCTGCTTACCGCAAAAGCCGCTGCCTACCGCAATTTACTATTTGGTGTAAACGAATTTCTCTTAATACGCGACTTATTTTGTCATAGTAATTAAAGGTGCATGTTATTTGGTATTGGCATCAACGGTTTCATGTTTTTAATTGAACTTCAACTAAGTTTACTACTACATTGAAATAGCCGACGAAGTTTATTTTGTTGTGATCTTTTTTCTAAATTTAAAACTATAAATAGCGTTCTCAAGTTGCAAAAATGACGTTTAAAACAATCTAAAATTGGGATCTATGGCGTGCTGTTTTTAAATTACGCTCACCGTCGTACTGCGATAGGGTCGTTTGATGTTTCGAATGACTAAAGCAGGAAACACACATCAAAATACATATAATACACAATAGTATACGAACTGACGTGAATACAAAAATGATTTGCTTTTGTTGTTACAGATTACGATCGTCCGTCGTTTGGTAACATGAAGCGTTATACATAATGAAGAATTATTCAAATGGTCACGTAACGATACATGATTATTTTATGATGTACTTTGCGAAATGGAAGCGAGTCGCCGTCGTATTGCTCGCCGTTTGGATTGTCGTCACCTATTTAGTCATATCGCCTTTAAGGTAAGTAAAGTATTGTTACGCGCTGGGGTTCGGGATAAATAAAATTCTACCAAAGTACAACTAAAAACTGTATTCAACAATTAGAACACTCAACAAACACTTTAAAACTCTCAATTCGCTTCTTCCGCTTCGCTTCAGGTGATCCGTTTGCTGTTTCGCTTCGAGTAGTTCCGATTACTGACTGACTGCGTGCCATCTCTACAATACTTTTACAGCCGATACCTCATCCCTAGAATTATCGAAAACATTCCACGCATCTCTAGTAGTAGTTTTCGCTATCTGACAATAGATGGCGCTGTATTTCTCGAGCGTTCTAGGTCCTTCGATATTCGTTCGACTATTCGGCGATATATGGCGTTAGTCTTACTGGCGTAACAATATTAAGGGCCAGCCTCGGAGTTTGAGCTTTAAGTATGCCCACTGAGTTTCTCGGAGGATCTTCTCAGTGGTTCGCGATTCCGATCCGTTGGTAGATTCTACGAAGAATTGCTAGTGTTAACAAATTCTCGGGTTAAGCCCGTTAGTTCGCTTACCCGTTCGAGCGTAGCCGGAATAGTGCCTTAGGCTACCAGAGAATAGGTAGGGGGGGGGGGAAGCTCAAAGTTACTTCGATATGAGTCGTGAAAACTTGGCAAACAGAAACTTTATGAGTGAGACTGCTATAATTGAGGATCTTGTTCAAGATACGGGCGTTTTTCTAATGAATAGTGTAGGCTGTGGTAGTGTAGATGCAATTTTAAGTCAGTGACAGCGTGTCGAGAAACGGCGTCAGTTTTTATTGGTGGATAGTGTGTATTGTAAACCCGTATGAGCGGGTACGATATCTTTTCTAGTTTCTGTTGTGAAGTAATTATGCGTTCCGACTTAAAAGGTAGGACAGCCGTTACACAATTGACACTTTGATCTTTTACTTCATCCACGATATTCTCCAATGCTAAATTGGGTTGAATGTTCTTTTTAAAAACTTTAAGCTTAAATAATACTTTGGCAATTATTGGCCAATTCTCTTGAATTACGATTCAGTTGATAACTATAATTGCAGAAACCGTGAGAACTGTAATTAAAGGTGTAATTACAACTCCTGGTGATTTTAACAGTTGTTTTCAGGTTCCATCAGCTCTGTCTGTTATATCTCTGAATTCAATTTGTTATTTTCATTAATCCAATTTCAATATTAGTACATATTTAGAAACTTTTTTCTTATTCTTAAATCTTGAATGTGAAAAGGAACATTTCGATTTTTGAAATCGTGACTTTGTGTTGAAAAAGTTGTTTTATGTTTCTTTAATTGTGGATTTGGTTTGATATTCGATTTTAGATTTAAAAAAAACATTTTTATATTAATGAATGCGTCGGTGTCGTCAGAGTTACCTAAAATTCGATTTTTCTTCAAGAAGCGATATAATTCTGAAGAATGAGGATGTCGACTGCTATTTTCGCGTACAATCTGAAACTATGTAAACACAGACACCTGTCACGACATTTCTTATGTGAAACTGACTCGATGGAATGGTATAAAAGAAATTTCTATTACTGACTAGCTGACCCGGCAGACTTCGTAGTGCCTCAAACGACCATTAAAAGAACTAAACTTTTGTCTATACTAATATTATAAAGAGGAAAGATTTGTTTGTTTGTTTGTTTCGAATAGGCTCCGAAACTACTGGACCGATTTGAAAAATTCTTTTTCCATTAGAAGCCGACATTGTCCCTGATGAACATAGGCTACTTTTTTTATTTTATTTTTTATTTGATTTTTTTTGGTTTCATGTGTGTTTTAATGTTTCCGAAGCGAAGCGAGGGCGGGTCGCTAGTATAAAATAAACTTAAAACAAACAAAAGCAATCCGTCCGACGGGGACACATCAAAGGATAAACAAAATTGTGTTTTTTATTTAATTCCGAGCATTTTCATATTTATCTACCTTTTAAACCTTCTCTGGACTTTCAAAAATAATTCAAGACCAAAATTAGTCAAATCGGTTCAGCCGTTCTCGAGTTTTAGCGAAACTAACGAACAGCAATTCATTTTTATTTCTATTATTATTATTATTACTGATACTGTTTGTTTATGCGGCCAAATGTGATCACTAGTTATTTGGTGAAGTACACACCAAGATGAGCCCAGAGACCACAGCATAATGCCGTTGTCTTTATTGTTGTAACGGCTTTCTGACCCTCCGCATCCGACTGCTTAGCATCAGATATAAACAGGGCTGTGATATCTGTATAGATTGTGGGTTCACAATAAGCTTTTTTATTTCTGCCGTGAAGCAGTTATGCGTTTCGGTTTGAAGGGTGGGGCAGCTGTTGTAACTATACTTGAGACCTTAGAACTTATATCTCAAGGTTGGTGGCGGTATTTACTTTGTAGATGTCTATGGGCTCCGGTAACCGCTAAACACCAGGTGGGCTGAGAGCTCGTCCACTCATCTATGCCAAAAAAAAGCTTTATGACAATGAAATTTAAAAAAAAAATTGTATAAATTAACATAACCACGTACTGTTTACATATAAAAAGCCTTGAATCTAATTCAACGAATCGTGGCCGAAATTCTTAGAACCGTAACCAATACGTACGTAGTGATCAGTAATCGTGAGTACATGGAAGAAGAAGGTCTTTAGTATATTAATTGTTACTACAATCTGCAGTCCTAATGACTTCCCCGTTAACAAGCGTGTCGAATTAAAGAACCCTGAATTTTGAATTTTACCTGGGCCAGTATAAAAATTCGCCAATAAACAATATATGTAATATGAGAACTATACGAGTATTTTATGGATATTTTATTTGATTAGCTTACCTTGTTAGTCGATCATAATGTTAGCCAAAGAGAATTCCTCTTTTTTTTTTTGCTTAGATAGGTGGTGAACTATACTTGAGACCTCAGAACATATATCTCAAGGTGGGTGGCGCATTTACATTGTGGATGTCTATGGGCTCCAGTAACTACTTAACACTTGTTGGGCTGTGAGCTCGTCCACCCACCTAAGCAATAAAATAAAAAAACGAGCTCACAGCCCACCTGGTGTTAAGTGGCTACTGGAGCCCATAGACATCTACAACGTAATGCGCCACCCACCTTGAGATAAAAGTTCTAAGATCTCGGTATAGTTACAACGGCTGCCCCGCCCTTCAAACCGAAACGCATTACTGTTTCACGGCAGAAATAGACAGGGTGGTGGTACCTAACCTTGCGGACTCACAAGAGGTCCCACCATCAGTAAAAATTAACTTACCTTGTTAGTCGATCATAATGTTAGCCAAAAAGAATTCTTCCTTGATTGAAAGGCGAAATAATGATGTGTGTATATAAAAGTGGTTCGTCTTCAGTCGTAATTACTTAAGTGCTTGTTGAAATTTCGCAAATAAGGTGTCATTTTTAGCGTCTTAATAATTCGCCTACGACTTCAATAATATGACGAAAGCATTTAGGGTTTTACCCAAGAAAATATATCATATTTATCTTAACGTAACGAATATCAATTACGTGGGCAAAACCGATAAATAAAGAAACAAGCGTAATCGTAAAATTGCGTGTAAATTGGATCAATAACAAAACTTACCACGGTTTTTCGACACGCTTGAAGTCGAACAGAGCTAGGAGCCACGGGCCTGAGCGATAAATCTTATCACGATTTCGCGATTTTATTGAGTTTATGGAGTACGCGAGAACACCATGTTTTATTTTATTTTATTGCCCTTGTAGGCAGACGAGCATACGGCCCACCTGATGGTGAGTGGTTACCGTCGCCCATGGACTTCGGCAATGCCAGGGTCAGATCCAAGCCGCTGCCTACCGCTCCAAGCCGCTGCCTACCGTATTTACAACTTTAACTGTTTGTAAATTGAAAGATCAGATTATGGTAGGTAAGGTGATTTAGGGTATGGTAAAGTAAGGTATGGTAAGGTAAGGTATGGTAAGGTAAGGTAGGTTAGGTAAGAGTAGATACGTCTTGTATTAAAGCGGTCGTTGATAGAAGGAGAGTTTCTATTTGATAAAATTGTGTTCGTAAAGTCTTAAATCCTGACAACTTTTTATGAGCTTTATAACATGATCTTTTTTCTAATAATGTTTAAGGAGAATATTTTTGTGTAGACAGTTGTTTGCCTGGACTCTCTGGCATTGCTAAACCACGTTGCGCGACCGTGACTAATCAAAATCAGATTGGCCGTATGCTTTTTTACCGGTGGTAGGACCTCTTGTGAGTCCGCGCGGGTAGGTACCACCGCCCTGCCTATTTCAGCCGTGAAGCAGTAATGCGTTTCGGTTTGAATGGTGGGGGAGCCGTTGTAACTATACTGATACCTTTAGAACTTATATCTCAAGGTATGTGGCGCATTTAAGTTGTAGATGTCTATGGACCCTAGTGACCACTTAACAGCAGGTGGGCTGTGAGCTCGTCCACCCATATAAGCAATAAAAAAAAGCTTGTCTGCAAAGCATGCGTTCTCGTATGGTGGGTGGAACAGATTACAAAATTGAGATTTACAAATGTGATGATTTGATGATTTACCATGTCTCAGGGTTGAGGCAAGCATTTTTTGGTTACTTATTGCATCCTTATGTGTCGTGTCTCGTAAATCCTGCATTATGTATAAACAGTGTTCCACTTCAAAACGACTCGATCAAATTGACTGTTTTTTGTTGTTGCTCCTAATCAAAACGTGGAATTATCAAGAAAATTATGTATTTTTTATTTATTTATTCAGATTATTTTTTTGTTATTATTTACGTGATATTCACAGCGGAGCGTGGTCGGATATACTACTACTATATAGTATTTTGTAAAATACGTTTGTTTTTTACAGTAGTTTAGATTAGTTTTACAGCAGACCATAAACGTGAAAGTCGTTAAGTCGAAGTCGTAAAATATTGTCCCACCCGTGAAACTTTGTCTACAATATAACCCGAAACAACCCTCTTGAATTGAAATTTTAATAACAGATGCAGCGGCAATTCAGATGAGATCCCCGACGTCCAGGAGAGGTTGAAGCGGATGTCTTCGGAGCTGGAAGTCCTGTGGCAGAGAAACAGTAAGCTCATAGCGCAGATAAAGAAGTCTTCAGGGTCAGTTTTCACCAAAGACAGCTATTGAACGATTAAATGTTATGTCTATTAGTTACGGCCTTATTCATAATCAGCGTGCTTAGTGCCAGTTTTTCATACCCGATCCTGTAGACCGAATGGTAAACAGTCGACGTCGTCCTAAATACGTCATTACGAATCCACTCGATCTATTAACGGTGCTTTTAGGTGCTACAAGCACCAGTCACTGTCCTCCTCGAACCCGTCGCTTGCGAAGAAGGGCTCGACGAGTGAATTAACCCATAGACATAGCTCACTGAGTTTCTCGCCGGATCTTCTCAATGAGTCGTGTTTCTCCGATTCGATGGTAGATTCTGCGAAGCACTGCTCTTGCTAGGGCCAGTGTTAGCAACACTTGCGGTTTGAGCCCCGAGCTCACCTACAAGTTAGGGTGAAGCTGAAATACCCTCTCAAGATTATCAGCATAGGTAGGGGAAAAAACAGTTTTTTAACGTTCTCGATAGCGTAAAAGTTAACTCAGATTTGTATGGAATTGGAACGTTTGCCGACGTTTGCCGCTAGGGGCGCTGTTCCAACTGCATACAAATTTGAGTTAACTTTTACGTTGTCGAGAACGTTAAAAACTCGCACTAAACACACAGCTATTAGTTCTTTATAACGTCGCTGTAAGTTGACTGTCAAAACACTGTAATGTACATAAAATTTATAATGCTCATTCTTATTGAAGGCCTCGTCTGAGAAGAGTCTGAACCGATGTGACTATTTTTGGTTTTAACATGTTTGCATTAACTCAAATGAATTATTTTGGAAAAAAAAAATAGAATTGGATATCTCGCGGCTTGGTTAGTTCATAACTAAAATGAATTCCAAACACCACTTTTTGACAGTCTTCTTATGACGGACTTATTATAATGCCCATAACACATGAATAACACCGTTATCTTATTGTGTTATTTTCATCGGCTTATTCAGGCGTAGACATGATACTTTTACGGTTTATATTTGGCTATCGTGATCACGCGACCACGAAAATTGTATAACAATAAAAAAATGCGAGACTAAACCGTAAAAGTATAATAGTTTTAATTATTTTAGTTTATGTGGTTTTTATATATAACTATGTACTGCAACTGCAGGATTAATATTTCTATGTTTCGAATTAAAAAACTAATATTATTTACACAAAATTGTACCTTTTGGTCGGGTTTTTAGAGCACGTTCTTAGGAATTGATTGACAATTTACCTAATGAACCTGCTAAATTATTATTATATTATAATATATTATAAATTAAAAGGGGCTTCCGTTGCAGGCTCAATGGCAATCTTAAAGATTTAGACCCGGCGTTTTGGAACCTTGAAGCGGGACTGGGTCCGTCAGAGGAATATGAGAATCTCCGGAGGAGGATCCACTCGAATACAAAGGAGTTCTGGTACTACGCGAACCATGAGCTCGGGAAGTTGATGCACGAGAGTGACAAGGAAGCGAAAATACGAGCGATTTTGGAACAACTGTCTGATAGAAAAAGGTTGGTTTTTCTTAGCGCTACTACAATAATTATCGATATTGCGCGTGACCTGGATAAAACTCCAGAGAATGCAACATCGTCACGTGTGACGTCATTTAGGGTTAAAATGTACGAATGCTAGATTTCATAGGTTAGCTTAATATAACATTAATACTCATATGGGGTCGGGTTATGTCATTTACCAGAATTACGTTAACGAGTTAATTTTTTTTTTTTATTGCTTATATGTGTGGACGAGCTCATATCCCACCTGGTGTTAAGTAGTTACTCGAGCCCATAGACATCTACAACGTAAATGCGCCACACACCTTGAGATATAAGTTCTAAGGTCTCAGTATAGTTACAACGGCTGTCCCACCCTTCAAACCGAAACGCATTACTGCTTCACGGCAGAAACAGGAGGGGCGGTGGTACCTACCCGTGCGGACTCACAACAGGTCCTCTACCACCAGTAATTACGCAAATTATAATTTTGCGGGTTTCACTTTTATTATACGATGTTATTCCTTCACCGTGGAAGTCAACCGTGAACATTTATTAAGTACGTATTTCATTAGAAAAATTGGTACCCGCCTGCGGGATTCGAACACCGGTGCATCGCTAGATACGAATCCACCGGACGTCTTATCTTTTAGGCCACGACGACTTTTTAGTTAACTGAATTAATTAATCCGTTATTCACATCTATTTCATTCAAATTCGCGTAGCCGCTTATGCCTGATTATTGAGTTGCACACATCCAAACGTGCAAATTGTCATAATTTTTTATTATTATTACTACGGTAAAACTTAAAACTTGCCAGTTTAGAACCAACGTGAGAAAAGTAGTACTTGAAAGTAAAACTCATTTGTAATTCACATAGTTTCGTTTTTATTTTTTTTATACTATTGTGCCAGTTTTAACGAATCGTAGCCTATTACGACAGTGTATGTATTAATACTCTCAAAAGGATTTTGCAGTTTTTTTCGTTTTTTTTTTTCGTTACTTGCCTGTATTTATTCTTTCTTATGAGGTCATAAAACAATTCAGCTGACATGAGGCAATCAGCTTTTATTCTAAACTGTAGTTTAGATTTTGTGCGATGTTCGACAAAACAAATAGACAGATGATAAAATAAAATATGTATTGTCATTTGGAATACACCTAAAGGGGTACACTAAATAACACATTTTCTTTATATAAACTTGTAGTTTTGTTGAACTTGTACACATTTATCGTATAGTTTTTAAAATTTAATAGTTCATAGTCATCGACTATTAATATGAACTCAACAATATGGATAACAGAAAAATCGTTCATGACCTCTTCAAGTACTCAGTAACAAGATAATGTATATGTTTGTGTTTTAGTATGTGTTCTAATCTCTTTGAATTTTTGATAATTCATTGTACCGAATAAAAAATTCAAAATGTTAAACAAGATAGAATAATAATAATAGAATGAGTAAATATCATTAGCATTTGTTTAAATTATCAAAATTTTGTTGTCACTAAATAGTTTACCCGTAGACACAGCTTACTGAGTTTCACGACGGATCTTCTCAGTGGGCCGCGATTCCGATCCGGTGGTAGATACTGCGAAGTTCTGTTCTTGTTAGGGCTGGTGTCAAATTCTCTCCGGTTGAGCCCGTGAGCTCACCTACCAGTCCGGGCGTAACTGGAATAGATGTTTTTTTAAACCTTGCGTTAGACACCTTCAGCTCTAGGAGCAGACTTAGGGACCCCGGTAACCGTACTCGTCGAACTCGGCAAAGAGTTCGATGTGCAACCTAATCTGAACATCAGCCCGCTGAGTTTCCCTCCGGATCTTCTCAGCGGGTCGCGATTCCGATCCGGTAGTAGATTTATTCGTGAAGCAGCTACTCTTGGGTTGTTATTTTTATTTTTTTTATTGCTTAGATGGGTGGTAGAACTCATAGTCAACCTGATGTTAGCTGGTCACTGGAGCCCATAGACATCTACAACAATCTAAATGCGCTACCCACCTTGAGATATAAGTTCTAAGGTCTCAGTATAGTTACAACGGCTTCCCCTATCCTTCAAACCGAAACGCATTACTGCTTCACGGCAGAAATAGGCGGGGTGCTGGTACCTACCCGCGCGGACTCACAAAACGTCCTACCACCAGTAATTACGCAAATTATATAATAAATTTGCGGGTGTCTGATTGTAATATTGAAATAACTGCTTTTTACTACATGCATATGAATATATATACGGTACATACACCAAAATAGCATTTTTTACAATTTTTATCTGTCTGTTTGTTCCGGCTAATCTCTGGAACGGCTGGACCGATTTCGACGGGACTTTCACTGATAGGTAGCTGATGATATAAGGAGTAACTTAGGCTTTACTTTTTTAGATTAGCTTCGCCCCGCGGCGTCACGCGCGGTACGACGGGACATAACATCGCGGGACTCGGCCATCAATAATAAAATTTAATGTTTCCGAAGCGAAGCGAGGGCGGGTCGCTAGTAAAAAATATATTGCATCGTTTAGTGAAGCAACACTACTTCTAATAGTGATAAAGTTTTTGTCGTCTGTTATCACTGTCACGGCCGCGTCTAGATAATATTCGTGTGTTTTATTGGCTCGTTTAGCTTGGTTATAGCTGTAGTTAGTGTTTTATTGATGTCAGCATTGTGTCAATACGTATACAATGATGTGTTTAATTACCCACTTTGAGAAGGTCCTTGGGCGAAAAGCTTTTTAAAATTCTTCGAACTGTGGGTTTTTGACAGAAAAAGTATTGAGAGTTGACTGTTCTGTTTAATTTTGACTTCTTTTTTCTTCACTATCTATTCTAGTATCCTCGAGAGGTTCTTTTAGATTCTATTAAATAATATGAGTGCTCACGGGGCTCAAACCTGACGACGTTGCTAACACTAGCCCTAGCAAGAGGCGTGCTAGAATCTACCACTGGGTCGGAAACGCGACCCACTGAGAAGATCCTGCGAGAAACTCAGTGGGGAGAAGTGAACTTCTCGAGCGCTCTCGACTTTACTAATATATTTCTTTTTTCTTACTCGTTTCTGCTATTTGACGACAGATGGCGTTACCCTTACCGGCGTAGCATTATTTACGACGTTAAAAAGTATCCCAAATTACCTTTGTGCGAAGTTTTATTCATATCGGTTCTGTAATTTTTTCGAGATCTAGTGAATAAACACAAACTTTCACATTTATAACACTAGGAAAGATTGCAAGGGCGTACTGGCATTACCGATGTCTCAATGTCTGTCATACACGTTGGTCTGGTTATTTAAGTAATTTATAGTCATTGTATGGAGTTAACTTTACCGCGATCGTGGAGTTAGAAAACTCGCACTAAGCACACAGGGATTAATAAGTGAGCAATGAGTAAAAAAAAATTGCGTAATTTTGGAAGCGACATTTTACATTTTGGCAGCACAAAACAATTCAAATTCAAATTCAAAATCATTTATTTCAACTTGGATGTCATCAAAAACACACTTGTTGAATGTCAAAATGTAAAAGAAAATGTTAACTCTACCACTCTAATAAATTAATCGATATATATATAATCAATATATAATCGATATATATCGACTATATATTGAGAGCATCTTCCAACTACATACAGCTTTGTCTTCACACAACTTGAGAGTTCTTATAAATAACCTGTAGAATTGAGTCTCTGAATAAAACTTTCACTAATTCACAGCACATTACTGTCTGATCAAGAAAAACTGTCGGAAATGGATGGTTACCACGAGTGGAGGCAACTAGAGGCGGCCAACGTCAGCGACCTTGTCCAGAGGAGGTTGCACTATTTACAGAACCCGCCGGATTGTAGGGAGGCAAGGAAACTGATATGCAACTTGAATAAGGTAACTAAAAATAATCGAATTTTATAAATATATTCAATGTATATTGTACTAGAAGGGTAAACGAGCTTTAGGTCCACCTTTTTTTTATTTTTTTTATTTCTAGGTGGATGGACGAGCTCACAGCCCACCTAGTGTTACGTGTTTACTGGAGCCCATAGACATCTATAACGTAAATGCGCCACCCACCTTGAGATATAAGTTCTAAGGTCTCAAGTGTAGTTTACCTTGTTACCTTGTGCTATGTCTACTATAGACATCATCACAATCCGCCTGCGCAATTGAATCTTCGACCTCAGGTTTCAAGATCAGTTTCGGCGTAGGAAAATTCCTTACTTCTTCTTCAGAAAAGCATTGATGTTTGGCATTAGGAGCGATTAGCTTAAACTGCTCTTACGATTTTATTTCGCGTTTAATCTGTTTTGTTGTAAAAACTGTAAAGCATTTGAAATGTCGGAAATAATAAACACAAGATTAAAGCCTACAATCTAATGTATGCAATTAGTTTTAATTTTATTTACGTCACGAGATCCGGATCGCCTACCCGCATTTTTGTTTTTTCGAAGAATCGGCGATAAACTCGTCTGATGTTATGGTTTAGGCTTCACGTCTAGCTCTTACTGGTGGAAGGACCTCTTGTGAGTCCGCACGGGTAGGTACCACCTCACTGCCTATTTTTGCCGTGAAACATTAATGCATTTCGGTTTGAAGGGTGGGGCAGCCGTTGTAATTATACCGAGACCTTAGAACTGATATCTCAAGGTGGGTGGCGAAATTTACGTTGTAAATGTCTATGAGCTCCGGTAACCACTAAACACCAGGTGGGCTGTAAGCTCGTCCACCCATCTATGCAATAATAAAAAGAGCTCATCAAATACCTGACAACGCAAGAGTAGCCGCTTCACAAATGAATCTACTACCGGATCGGAATCGCGACCCGCTGAGAAGATCCGGCGAGAAACTCAGCGGCCTTATGCATGGGTTAGGTTGCACGTCGAACTCTTTGTCGAGTTCGACGAGTACGGTTACTGTCTCTATAGCTGCTCTTAGTGCTAGAGCTGTTGACGTCTAATGACAGTGTTAGTGGACCGGTCAAACGCCTTGCCAACGTATGGTCCGTATGGTCCATCACCGGGACAAGAGTAGTGTAACAATCCTCTGAACGTCTTATTCCAGGGCTGCGGCTTCGGTTGTCAACTCCACCACATAGTGTACTGCCTTATATTCGCTTACGCCACCGAGAGGACTCTAATCCTGAACTCGAAGGGGTGGCGGTACAACACTAAAGGATGGGAGTACGTCTTCCATCCAATATCGGAGAGCTGTTTGTCTTCGTACGACGATAAAGTCGTGCAGTGGCCAGGTAATATGTAGACGCTGTCGGATGTATCCTATAGTCCGGGAGTGTGGTCCTCTTGCTCGCAATGCCGACCTGACGCCCTCCAGCGAAATATCTCCATGTATACTGGTGGTAGGACCTCTTGTGAGTCCGCGCGGGTAGGTACCACCACCCCGCCTATTTCTGCCGTGAAGCAGTAATGCGTTTCGGTTTGAAGGGTGGGGCAGCCGCTGTAACTATACTGAGACCTTAGAACTTATATCTTAAGGTGGGTGGCACATTTACCGTTGTAGATGTCTATGGGCTCCAGTAACCACTTGAAAGCAGGTGGGCTGTGAGCTCGTCCACCCATCTAGCAATAAAAAAAATGTGACTAACATGTGGTGCTTTGACCTTGCGCGTTCATTGATCGGTATTTGTTTTACATTGCTTGTTGTTGCGTGCGAAGGTGATACAAAAGGGTGGTCACGACCCTCAGCAATGAGGAATACGACGCAAGGAGGAGGTTGTACTTAAAACATTATTCAACGCGATTTATATTAGTAACGCGCTTTTCTTTTTCACCACCATATCCCACTAGGTGGGGTCGACACAGCTAATTTTTTTCTTCCATTCTCTTCTATGAGACGTCATCTCAACCTTCACTCCTCTCTCTCTCTCATATCTTCATTCACACACTCTATCCATGTCTTCTTCAGTCGACCTCTTCTCCCTCTACCTTGCACTACCATTTCCATACATCTTCTAGTCACAAGCCTTTTTTCTCTACGCATCACATGTCCATACCACGCTAACCGCAGTAAAAGTAAATAAGTAACGCATTAACGTTTTTTTTTTTTTTTTTTTCAGTTTCATACGACGCAAAAGTGGTTTCGCTACCGTTTATAGATTCCATATCGCAGAAGCCCAAGTTCCTGCCGCTGGCTGTGCCTAAAGACTTGGCTCATAGGTGAGTCGTCATACTTATAAACGATATCGATAGAACAATTTATCAAAAGGAAACGTTCCAAACACGATCTAATTTGAAATTCGGCTCAAAGGTTCATGACGTAACTCGCGAGGTAGATTTCTAAAATGCTACTTTTGAAATGTGAGAATTCGTGGTGATCACGGTAGGTTAGAATGGTGATTCCAAGGTTGAGGAAGAACGTAGTTAAGAATTATTCTTTCGTTCCGGCTTGGAGGGTGGGGCAGCCTATCTTCGCTGTGGGGGCGGATGAGGGCATTAACATTGTAGTGTCTATGGTTTAGGAAACACGCAATACCAGACGCGACGTGAGAATGTCTGGATTTTCCGATGTATATAGTATATATCGCGATGTGTAAAGGCTATATGGTTTAAAAGACATTTTGGAACATTGCAGAAGAGCAATTTAAAGTTTAAAAATTGGAAAGAATATCATAAAAAAATAACTTATTCTACTATAAAAATAACTTCAGCTATTTCAGCCTTTCCCAAAGTGGGCGATAACGCCCCTAGTGGGCGGGCGCCGCAGGCCTAAAGGGGAGCGCTAAGAGATCCAGAAAAAAAATGGGGGCGTTGTGTAGAGGCTTGGGAGGCGATTTGTAATTTCCATCTAGGAGGACTCTTAGACAACGACTAAGCTCTCGCTATAGTGGTTTTTAATTAGGTGAAAAAAAGGGGCGTTAAAAAATAATTTATTCTCAGTGTGGGCCGTACACAAAATAAGTTTGGGAACCCCTGAGTTATTTGAATGGCGTTCTTTGAATTATTATATGAAGTTCATTTAACAACATAGAACTCTTGAGGTTAATACCAAATAAAATTCACTTTTAATTACAAAGATAAATGTCGCGTATTAAGCGAAGTGTCGTTTAAATCACCATTCACCCCCTCGAAATACATTACAAAATTCGCGGGCCTTGAAATTCAACCATAAACTTTATACAACAAAGTCCCTTTTTAGGTATTGTCACATTCATTAGAATTTTTTCAAGGCTTTCTTCATTGCATTTAACAACATAATACCCACAATCGCACAGTGTCGCGTATTAAGCGAAATGTCGCTTAAACCAAATAGCCCCCTCGATATAAAATTGAAGCTTAATCTTGTCTCAAGAGAGTCGAACCATTTTCAATCGTTCACTCATATAACTCCTACAACGGAAATTAATTCTCGGTTATAGTATTAATCTTAGCTTATATGTGGATTTTTGCAATATATGTATGTATGTATTTGGCTGTCTTCTTAGACACATACTATACTTTCATTCGTCTATATATATAAAAATTAATTGCTGTTCGTTAATCTCGCTAAAACTCGAGAACGGCTGGACCGATTTAGCTAATTTTGGTCTTGAATTATTTGTGGAAGTCCAGAGAAGGTTTAAAAGTTAGTTAAATATGAAAATGCTCGGAATTAAATAAAAATAACAATTTTGTTTTTCCTTTGATGTGTCCCCCGTCGGACGGATTCCTTTGTTTGTTTTAAGTTTATTTTATACAAAAGTTTAGGGTTTTTTATTTATCGATTGAGGCACTACGAAGTCTTCCTGGTCAGCTAGTCGATCATAAAAATCTAAAGTTTATAAATCCTTGCGACAGGATAGTCCGCTTCAACGGCGATCCGTCATCGTGGTGGGTCGGGCAAATGCTGAAGTTCGTCCTGAAGCCGCGCCTGCCGATGCAGAAGGCGATCAACGATACAATAGCCAAAATGAATTTCAAATCGCCCATAGTCGGGTAAGGTTGTATAATTAATTTCAAATTTATGTCAAGTCGTCGTGGCCTAAAGGATAAGACGTCCGGTGCGTTCGTGTGTAGCGATGCAACGGTGTTCGAATCCCGCTGGCGGGTACCAATTTTTGTAATGAAATACGTACTTAACAAGTCGTTTTTTCGCATTAAAATTGTAGAATTTCCAAAACTGTCAAAAGAGCGTAGTTTAGTTCTAGATATTTTTTTTAGTTTACCTATATTTTGTCTACTGTTAACAAATTTAATATAATTTTATCTTACTTTAAAGATAGATAATGTGTAAATATATAATAATGTATAAATGTTGCAAAGATGATAAATATTAAAAATATCACATGTTAAGCCTTTAAAACACTCTCCTGTAAAATTAGTAAGTTTTGAGATTATACAGTTTTATTGCGAGAAGACGAAATGTTTACGATTGACTTCCACGGTAAAGGAATAACGTCGTGTAGTAAAAATCAAACCCGCAAAATTATAATTTGTGTAATTACTGATGGTAGGACGCTTTGTGAGTCCACACGGATAGGTATCACCACCCTGCCTATTTCTGCCATAAAACAGTAATCCGTTTCCGTTTGAAGGGTGGGGCAGCCGTTGTAACTATACTGAGAACTTAAAAACTCATATTTCAAGGTGGGAGGCGGCATTTACGTTGTAGCTGTCTATGGGCTCCGGTTACCATTTAACACCAGGGTGGGTCGTGAGCTCGTCTAACCTTCTAAGCTATAATAAACAAAATTAGAATTTATATAATTTATAGAATACTGATCCTTATTCCGACACAACAGGGTTCACATACGCCGCACCGATAAAGTTGGAACCGAAGCCGCCTTCCACCACATACACGAGTACATGGCGCACGTGAAGGATTATTACGACCAGCTAGAGCTGACCCGGCCCGTAGACGTCCGGAGAGTGTATCTAGCCACAGACGACGCTAATGTGAGTACTGTAGCAAAAGTAGAAGTGGTACACACTGAAGCTGAAAGAGCAGATCATTTTTTTTAATCGTTTTACGACTCGGTAACCAGTCCTTTAAGCCAAATCTTATATTTTCTTCTTAAATTCTGTTGTGATGTAAAAAATGAAATGAAACCAAATGAGATCAATTTAAGACTAATAAACTAAATTGGAATCATATTAAATGAAACTAGATGAGATTGAATGAAATTATACATTGACATTTTGGCAGAATTCTAGAAGTTTGGTAGTAAAAATCAAACTCGCAAAATTATAATTTGCGTAATTACTGGTGGTAGGACATCTTGTGAGTCCGCACGGGTAGGTACCATCGCCCTGCCTATTTCTGCCGTGAAGCAGTAATGCGTTTTGGTTTGAAAGGTGGGGCAGTCTTTTTTAAAAGTGAGACCTTAGAACTCATGTCTCGAGATTAGTGGCGGCATTTACGTTGTAGATGTCTATTGTAATCACTTAACATCAGGTGGGCCGTGAGCTCGTCCATACATCTAAGCAATAACAAAAAGTTTAATAATTGTCTCGCAGGTGCTAGACGACGCCCGACAAAAGTATCCGGAGTACACGTTCTTAGGGGATCCGTCGATAGCGAAGACGGCGGCCACTCACCGTAGATACACGCCGCTCTCGCTTACTGGCCTACTGGTGGATCTACACATGCTGGCCATGTGCGATTACTTAGTGTGTACATTTAGCAGTCAAGTAAGTAATCTATGTATTAATACGTGAAGCAAAAATTTTGTACCCATTTTTACGAAAAATGCGCAAATGAAGGAGTATGAAGTTTCCACACTTAGAGAATATAGAGAAGGAGTGCAGAATGTTAATATTTGAGTCGACTATTATCAAAGGCGGCAATGTGACTTTTGGACAATTATTGGTAAATCAGAAAAACGAATTATTGACTTTGTATTCCATTGGCAGTCACAAAACTGTTCTGAACGACATCTTAGATAAATAACAGATTAAGTATTAACCTTTATTTAATGCAGGTTTTGAACCGTATTCTTTGAAGGAGACGATTATATTCAAATCAATCTGTATTGACATATCAATAACATTTTTTTGTCCAAATGCACAGATAGCCACCTTTGATAATAGACGACTTATTTTTTTTAAATGTCCTAAAAACATACATTAAATAAACAAGAAAAAAATATGACATAATTATGACACTACCATGTATTTGACACCATACTCTTTTGTTTATTGTTAAAGTCTGGTTAAATTAAGAATATATTATGATTGTCTTCAATATCATTTATCTATAGTGTAGCGTTGGCGAAATTTGTTATTACAGAGGTCTATGATATAGTCTTTGACAAAATACCCTTAATTATAATATGTTCCAACTTATAATTTAAATTAATTAAGGTCGAATTTAGACTACCGGGCGACCACTAGTACCGTACAATGGGGTAAATAGGGACAAAATCGACCTTCAGATTGAATTTTAAAATAGTTCCAATTAAATAGTCACTGCTCAACCAAAGAAATAAGTTGAGTCTTGAACGTACCTAGGTGATAAAAACCGTTACATTATTTTAATTATTCATTTCAAAGAAATAATCGGTAAAATAATGGCCGTCCCAATTTACCCAGCGTCCGGGGTAAATTGACACGGTTAAGGGTTAAATTGGGATATTTGTAAGGGTTGTCAACTCGCAGTACTGCGATATATAGGTAGGTGCCATATAATTATTTATATGGACCGAAATGATGAATACAATCCATAATTTAAGCACAATACACAACATAGTGTAAATTAAGCTGGTTTCTATTCCGAAGCGATGTGACGTGAATGATAATCAACAATACAATGATCAAAAAAAGTATGTGCATGTTATATTTTAGAAAATTATTATTTAATTTCCTTAAAAATCACAACTCTGAAACAAAATCATAAAATAGAATAAAAAATAGAAAACAAAAGGACTGGAAATGCAATAATACAATTTTATTTAATCAACATTTTCAAAATAATCTTTGAGCAAGAGTAAGATATCAGGTGAATAAGATAAAAAAACAGCTTTATCTGATTACTGCCAATAATAACAAAAATAAAAGAAATTCTTTCTAAGCTAAATAACTAAACTCAATTAATTCACTCACTCATAATTGGATATCTCGGATTTTTAATTAATGTTACATTTAAAATCTGAGGCCTGTTTTTATTTGTGTGTGCGTTTTGAATGTTAACAAAATCATGATTCGACGCGTGAATAGATTCTGAAATAACAAAAGTTTTGATTCGTTTGAGTTCTTTTAACTTTTAATTTTTTTTATTGCTATAAAGAACATACGACCGGGCAGATATTACAAGGTAAATGTCGCGAAAAAAAAGTAATTATATATATACTTTTCTTTTACCTATAATACTTACATAAACTAACTGATAAACACATTAACCTTCTTTACATCACGCAATTAAGTGATAGTATAGGCTAAAAAATCTATTATAAGATATCAGTGACAACCCTAACAAGCCATCCCTATTTTGTCTTTTGGCGTTCCAATTTTGTGTTTTCTCGTCCCTAATTTTTCCAGTCTCGTTCCCAATTACCCTACATACGTCCCAATTTTCCCCAAAAAGAAAGGAAAAAATATACATTTTTTATTTTGTCGAAATATTGTATTTAAAATAAGAATATTGCAACTTACCGTTTGTTGTGGTATTTCCAGGTGTATTAAAAACTTATATAAACTGTGATCTTATTGAAAAAACAACGATAATATTACTTTTTTTAAAAGTTCTTTAAGCTGTTTTAAAATGCACTTTTCAACCACTATTTTCAATTTAATTTGACGAATTTTTGGGACCAACTTAACTCATATGTAGTACTTCCATAGTTAACTTGGTTTTTCTTCTATACATTGATAAATATTAACATAAACAAAATTAGGTAGATTCCGTGCTACAGGTACTTTGAGAATCTTCCGCAGGTTTGTCCCAATTTACCCCAGGATCCCAATTTACCCCATGTCATGGTAAACATTAATATCCATGATAAGACTATTTCAAAGTTTTGTATAATATATTCGAATTTAGTGCGAAATAAAACATTTTTTTTTATTGCTTAGATGGGTAGACGAGCTCACAGCCCACCTGGTGTTAAGTGGTTACTGGAGCCCATAGACATCTACGACGTAAATGCGCCACCCACCTTGAGATATAAGTTCTAAGGTCTCAGTATAGTTACAACGGCTACCCCACCCTTCAAACCGAAACGCATTACTGCGCAGAAATAGGCGGGGTGGTGGTACCTACCCGTGCGGACTCACAAGAGGTCCTACCACCAGTAAAAAAGCATTGAAGCATATAATACGAACATTATACAAATTACGTTTAGAGGAATGAAATCAGACTGTACTTTGGCTTACAAACTCAGTCGGTTTATATGTAATTTTTTGGATTAAATTTTGGATGGTTGACTCAATCTGTGTATTATAATAAGGCAGCGGCTTGGTTATGTCAGGAAAATATGGGTTGGTGATGAGTTCTAAGTCTTAGTTTTATAGTATAAAGATTGCCCCACCCTTTAAACGCATTAATGTTTCACAGCAGAAATAGGCAGGGTGGTAGAACTTACCTACTTAGCTACATGGAAGAAGCTTATTGTGAGCCCTCCCTAATGGTCACTAACGCTAACGATCATACGCCCTAGCTCAGAGAGTAGGATGTCCATTATTCAAACGAAACTAACTAAGACACTTTGAATTTTTTATATTCCCCCTAATGCTAGGATCAATTGAGGCCGTCACCGCAAAATTGGCCTAAGTTTATCATAGTTAGTGAGGAGGCAATTAGATTTGAATTTTCATGAATTTGAATTTGAGTAAGCAAAAAAACAATCCGCGTAAAAGTAATGTTTACAAAGCTATATGTTATCTATGGATGAAACTATGAATAGGCTGGTTTTGCATCAAAATTTATTATATTTTAAATAGATTCCAATATACGTCATATAAGCTTGAATATAAAAAATTGTGGGTTAGGCCACTTTTGCGCTGATGGCCTATATTGTGCTTGTTATATTAAAAACAAATTATTTATTAGGTGGGTCGAGTGGCGTACGAAATGATGCAGTCGAACAGAGTGGACGCGTCAAACAGCTTCTTCTCGTTAGATGACATTTATTACTTCGGTGGACAAAACGCGCACGACAGGGTGGCCATCATGCAGAACCACGGCGGGAAAAACGAGGATATATCTTTTGAGGTGAGCAGAGATTCAGTTGTACTTTAATTAGTTTAATTCTAATAGTTTGATATTCAATGCGTGAGATATAGTAACCATGATCTCATATTTTCGTTTGGACATTTGAAATTATAATTGGGTTTAATTTTAAATTAAATTGTCTCGACCGTCTCGTAGGTTGATTGATTAGTGACCTTAAAAACTATAGTATAAAGTTTTGTTTCGATTCCCTCGTCAGCATCAGTGTCTTTGTCATACTTAGTATACGAAGACTGGATGAGTTTGTGTCTTGTCAAGAGACAAGATTATGCGGAATTCGAAAGATTTTTTTTAAAGTCTCTATTGTAAATCCGGTCCTGCCTCGATATAATCTAATAGATTGAACCGCATCGTGCAGGTTTTTTTTGTATTGCTTAGGTGGACGAGCTTACAGCCCACCTGGTGCTAAGCGATTACCGGAGCCCATAGACATCTACAACGTAAAAGTCGTCACCTACCTTGAGATATGAGTTCCAAGGTCTCAGTATAGTTACATGTATAGCAAGATGTGCGTTCCGTCTTTCGGTTTATTGACCTATGAGAATCACGTTCAGTACAGATGTTTTAATGTGATTTGAAGGTGGGCGATAAAATAGGAGTGGCCGGCAACCATTGGAACGGATACGGACGCGGAACCAACAAGAGAACTAATATGGTGAGTGTGGGGTACATCAAGTTTGTATTTTTGCTTTTTATTATTATTATTTTATTGTTTAGATGTGTGGACGAGCTCACGGCCCGCCTGATGTTGAGTGGATACTGGAGTCCGTAGACATGTACAACGTAAATGCCGCCACCCGCCTTGAGATATGAGTTTTGAGTTCTGAGGTCTTAATATAGTTACAACGGCTGCCCCACCCTTCAAACCGAAACACATAATGGATGGAAAGGATGGAAAGGATTTATGATACAGGACGCAAAAGGATGCAATAGGTAACCAAAAAAATGCTTGCCTCAACCCTGAGACATGGGGTCTATTTATAATCTCAAATGTGTAATTTAACAACTGTTCCACCCATCATACGAGAACGTATGCCTTGCAGACAAGCTTTTTATTTATTGCTTAGATGGGTGGACGAGCTCACAGCCCACCTGATCGTTAAGTGGTTACTGGAGCGTATAGACATCTACAACGTAAATGCGCTACGTTCCTTGAGATATAAGTTCTAAAGATATCAGTATAGTTACAACGGCTGCCCCACCCTTCAAACCGAGACGCATTACTGCTTCACGGCAGAAATAGGCGGGGCGGTGGTACCTACCCGTGCGGACTCACAAGAGGCCCTACCACCAGTTCAGACAAGTTTCCTTAATACGATTTCTTTAGAAACTCGCTTTATTCGGGCCACTAAAAGAGCGTGCTCTATGTAAGAGCGATTCTCGTGTTCCATATCCTATGGCTGTAAAATAACTCTGAGGTTAAAGCGATTGATTTAGTGACAATATCTTGTCTAGATTTATTCGGTACGTCACGAATTCGAGCTCATAGTTGAATTTGAATATCTACTATTGCTTTTTATATGTTATAGTTTTTATTTTTTCCTCCTTTTTTTTGTTACCTATGCTGATAGCTTTGAGGGGTTATTTCAGCTTCGCCCTAACGTGTAGGTGAGCTCACGGGGCTCAAATCGTGAGTGTTGCTAATACTGGCCCTAGCAAGAGCAGTGCTTCGCAGAATCTACCGCCGGATCCGAAAGGCGATCGATTGAGAAGATCTGGCGGGATATTCAGTGGGCTGTTTTTTTATTTTTTTATTGCTTAGGTGGATGGACGAGCTCACAGCCCACCTGGTGTTAAGTGGTCACTGGAGCCCATAGACATCTACAACGTAAATGCGCCACCCACCTTGAGATATAAGTTCTAAGGTCTCTCAAGTATAGTTACAATGTCTTCCCCACCCTTCAAACCGAAACGCGTTACTGCTTCACGGCAGAAATAGGCAGGGTGGTGGTACCTACCCGTGCGGACTCCCAAGAGGTCCTACCACCAGTGAAAGTGTGTCTGTACATTAAGTGTTCGGATAGAAATCGATGTAACAATACATATATTTTTATTTGCCTTTCCAGAACGGTCTGATCCCTTGGTACAAGACTGCCGATCATCTGGTGCTGTACCCGTTTCCAGAATACAAACAGGTGCCTATTTATTCAGAAACGAGCCAAAAGAACGTTTAATACCAAACGAATTAGGTTCAAATTACTGTAGTTTTTTTTTTGGTGTTTGTTTAAATCGTTCTGTGACCTATCGAAACGTTGACCGTTATATTATGAATCATGTTGTTATAATTGTGATGTTGATTGTGAATTGTTAACGTTTGTTTCTCTTGTTACTTGTGATTGTAAACAAAGTGTACCCTATTAATATTTTTTGTCTTGTGAGATTGGTATGAGCAAACAAAAAAAAATGTTAATCGTTTCTCCCCACGACTGACGTTTTTAAATTATAGCAGCAAGGATAAACTGGCAACACTGAGGCGGAAATTGCATAGTAAATTTCCCTTTGCCTAAAGGAGGGAAAAAAAATCGTAGTTCGACAGTAGCGCCTCACGCGCTGACTGCGGGAAACATTAAATTATACTGACCTAAAATTAGGTTCATTTCTTGATAGCGCAATGTTAGAACCCGAAAAAAAGATAGTTGATTTGTTCGGTAATGATTTCCCCGTGATTATTTATATTTCTTTTGTTTCGTTAACATTCTAAGTAAGTCACTAAACGCGATTATTTATTTATTTATTTATTATTATTTCATCCATGAATATGTGATTGATACAAATTTGAGTTCACTATTACTCTATCGAGAACCTTAAAAAACTCGCACTAAGCACACTGGTCAAACATAAAAGCCACAATAAAATAATGTTATATTAAATTATGTACATACATATATACATATTTAATTTAATGTTATTATAAAGCCCAGTGATGATGATCTTATAATATTTATTATTATAAATTAATTTGTTTAGTTTAATATGCATGCAGAATTTACTAAATATCGTTATCTTGAGATAGACAACGTGATTTTCATGTGTTTGAAAATTATAGTGTTTTAGAAAAAAGTTTGATACATTTTTACAGCGATACTCAAACGATTTTGTCAGTAGCACAAAATACCTTAAGTTTTGTAATGCATAGGTATGTGTTGTACGTCTAGATTCGTATTTTGAGTTTTTAGGAACTTCTTCATTTACCCTTATCCCACTATGTGGGGTGGGCTCAGAATATCCCCTTTTTCCATTCAGATCTATCATACGTCATCTCTGCAATCACACTCTTCTCTCGCGTATCATCTTTCACGCAGTCCTTAAAGTTTTTTTAGCTTGCTGTACTGACGTTACTGACCAACAAATAATTGGTTAACCAATAAGCTTAGTGAAGTATAGATAAAACAATAAATAAACTTAACCCAAAAAATTCTATGGCACTAACATTAAACTCCTATAAAAATAGACGCACACTTCACTGATTGAGTAAAATAAATAACATCACATAATTAACCAAACATTTAAATAGGCCGATAAATTACTGAGATTCATTTTTATAGTTGTTGGCCATGATTCCAATCCCTATACCATTATATACAGGGTGTCCCAGAAAGAATGGATAATACTGAAACACACTCATAGTAGAGCTATTGGGGACACAAAAAAAAATTAAAAAAATCTCAGGTACTACCTATCCAAATTACGTACCGTACCGTATTTATAAAAAAAATGGCTATTTTGCAAAGCGACAATTACAATTGACATTGACATATTCTCAGTGAGTGACAGCTGTCATTTGATATTGACATTACTAGGATGCGTTTAGGAAACAATTCTAACAGTCTATGAGTTCCGGTACCGGAAGTTGGTGGGTGAGCTTAGTTCGCATTTAAAGATTAAAGCTTTCTCCTGCCGTTTTTATGGCCAATACTACTGTTTCTTTGCCCAATAATATAATCCCTAGTATTATTAGTCGTGTTTCGAAGCATGAATCACTGTGGATGTTTTCATTCATAGATATTTCGCTTGACGTTTGACGCTTGACTTGACCCACCTATGACGTTGCCCGTTGTATTTATAAGCACTTTTACGTACATACAGTAAAAAAAGCTTACAGAGTTGTAACAGTTTTATTATTTCTTTTTTTTTATATTATTTATCTTTTAATTGTGGTGCATGCTAATTTTGAATAAACACTGAGTATTTGTCGACGTAAAAAGATAGCCACGCAATTTTTTAATTTTTTTTTATTGCTTAGATGTGTGGACGAGCTCATAACCCACCTGGTGTTAAGTGGTTACTGGAGCCCATAGACATCTACAACGTAAATGCGCCACACCTTGAGATATAGTTCTAAGGTCTCAGTATAGTCACTACGGCTGCCTCACCCTTCAAACCGAAACGCATTACTGCTTCACGGCAGAAATAGGCGGGGCGGTGGTACCTACCCGTGCGGAAATGAAATGTGTATAATGAAAAGCGTTAAAATCTTAAGTCGCTTTTGTCTAAATTAATTACATTCCAACATTTCCATTTAGATGATTAATTTTCTTCATTTATTGTACGGTATATGAACTTCGAAACCTTTCTACGTTAATTTGATAAAATTAAAAAGGTAGAATGCAAAATGTACTGACATAAAAAAATTCATGTATGGATATATTATAATATTCAATGCTTTTTAACCGACTTAAAAAAGGAGGAGGTTCTCAGTTCGACTGCATGTTTTTTTTTATGTTTGTTACCTCATAACTTTTATTGGGTGAATCGATTTTGATGATCCTTTTTTTATTAGAAAGCTGACGCTTCCCTTGTGGTCCCATTTCAATTTACTCCAGTTCTGTTAATGGTATCCATGAGAAAACCATATAAGTCTTAAATTTTCATTAAGTACGTGCGCGACAAATAGATAATAACTCAATATCACGCCAACCGATTTCGATGATTATTGTTTTTAGTGTATATTAAGTCGGTTTTTGTTAAAGCATTACTATTTACAATTCTCATAACACAAAATTTACATTATACACTCTTATTAAATAAAAGTAATTTGCAAAGTCGCGTTTTGAATGCATTACATACATATACATCAACTTTGGAATTATGAGAGGAAAGAGTCTGTATAAAACTCATCCGCATTGTACAAATAGAGTTCTTAGTACTAACTAACGGCTCGGCTTTGCCCCTTGAGTTTTGGGAGTCTATTGGCATTGATGACCACTCGCAATTACGTGAACCGTATGCTTATGTGTCGATAAAGGCAATTAAACAGAAAAATATATCTATACAAATAAATAAAATTGAAGTGTCTGTTTGTAATAATAAAATAACCACTTTTTACTGAATGCGTAAGTATGTATACCACAGTACATATACCAATATATATTTTTTTAATTTTTGTTAGTCTGTCTGTCTGTTTGTTCCGGCTAATATCTGGAACGGCTGGACCGATTTTGATGAGATTTTCACTGATAGGTAGCTGATGATATAAGGAGTAACTTAGATTAGCTTCGCCCCGCGGCGTCACCCGCGGCGGTACGACAATAACCGCGGGTAACTTCGCGTGACTCAGCTATCAATAATAAAATTTAATGTTTCCGAAGCGAAGCGAGGGCGGGTCGCTAGTATAATACTATACTAATATTATAAAGAGGAAAGATTTGTTTGTTTGTTTGTTTCGAATAGGCTCCGAAACTACTGGACCGATTTGAAAAATTCTTTTTCCATTAGAAGCCGACATTGTCCCTGATGAACATAGGCTACTTTTTTTATTTTTTTTTATTTTTTTGTTTTTTGGTTTCATGTGTGTTTTAATGTTTCCGAAGCGATGCGAGGGCGGGTCGCTAGTAATATATAACGAGAAAACGCACGCCGAATCGATCTACTCGTTCTGAATAAAATAATCCTAAAATTACTACATTAAATTACCAATGACCGTATACAAGTTTGGTTGCAATCGAATAAATGGCTTAAGAACACACAGAGCATGCACAAAGAAATAGAGTATAATAAACAAAGAAATGTAAATAAAGCATAGATATAAAGAAACATGAATAGAGCATTACAAATAAACATAGATTATATATACAGAGAAATATGAGTGATTGTTTAGTAAAGATAATCAAAGCGACATTTGACCAAACAGTGTAACAACTCACCGCTTTTTTAATTCCATTTTTTTTTTTCAATTGGAATTACGAATGAAATTGACTGCGGCGGGTACCATTGCTTTTTTTAGTAGTTATGAAATAGAAGGGTGTGTGTGTGTTATAAACAAAAGTGTTATTTGATGAGTTTTCTTTTTAAATATTTATTTTAAATTTGATCTGAAGTGTATTTAATTCCGTTCATAACAAGGATCTGATTAAGAAAATAATTATATTGTGTCAAAAATATTCTCTAAGTATTGTAAAATTTAAGCAAGTTATTAATTTATAATAATTTTTGCTTTATTTTTTAATTAAACTTAAATTTTGATTAAAATTAAATGAAGATCGTTTATGATAATTTAAATAGAAAGGTGAAATAAACAATTGTTTATTTATTTGACGGACTGTGGAATCGAGAAAAAACCTAAGAAATTATTCTAATAAACATCTTTGAATTTGCTCATTAAAAAAAATTAAGTATCACTGCCTACGTTTATTTTGATCTACTCTTAAATTGTTCTAATTGTAATTATAAATTTTGCTTTAAATATGCGCCCATACATTTATTTATTTTAATATAATCTTTCCAATTAATATGTTTAATGTCTCCAATAGATTAATTTAAGATGTAATCTAATGACGTTAAGATACGTAATATATTGAAAAAAAAAGAAGTGAATCGCGTAGATTATCGCCGGAAGCAGTTATTAAGTTCTTAATTATATTTGAAAGTGTAATATGTCGGAAAGTTCTCGAAGCAGTCGTTTGACGTTCGTTTTTATTGTTTTCACCAACGACATCGGTCTTGTGGCGCCACAGATAACCCCCAATGTGGGTTTTGGTAAGGATTTTGATCTGATCAATCCAGCGCATCAGTCAGGGTTTTGTCCACGAGATCTTTTACCATTGACTCTACCCTGAACAAAAAATTTCTCAATAGACTAATACACTTGTCCTTATGTTCCTTGTAATCAGCTAAAATCTATGGCTACACTACTTTGGCTGATTCAAAGGATAGTTGTTACTGACGGGCGATGCACGCGACGTTCAGTGATGTTCCACGTTACGAATATCGTGTGGCGCTAACCGCTCAAATACCAGAAATTACATATCGACGTTTGTAAGGCAAACGTGACTAAGCGACAATGCGTGAACTTTACAGTAGACTAAAGTTAAAATACCTGAAAACAATTTTTTTTTTAACGAATCTAGCTGTAGTAGAATCTAGCTAGTAGCTGTAGGATTGAAATGATTTTAATAGATAGAATTGTCGCTTAGTCACGTTTGCCTTTCAAGCGTCGATATACATACGTATTAGTCATCATAAATTGCGCAATTTAAAATAATTGTGTATGTTATTTAAAAAGCAGGTTTATTTAATAAACGCCATTATCGGGTCTTAATGTCTAATAATATCTTATTGTGTTTGAAAAATGTAACAAATTGTTTTTTTTAAGAGCAATAATTGATGTAATTAAAATTTATGAATATACGTTATTTTATACGTATTATATACTATATAATATGTATTATCACGTTATAACGTTTATTGTAAATGATCGCACCCCTGGGTGTTTAGAAGAAATCGTTTTTTTTTGTTTGTTTGTTAAAATCGCCCATTGCTTCGTGATAATTGCGATCACTTACTGGTGGTAGGACCTCTTGTGAGTCCGCACG